TATTATTGATCATTACTGGTGATTGGAATGCAAAGGTTGGAAACAAAGAGGAAGGATCAGTAGTTGGACAATAAGGCCTTGGTAATAGAAATGATGCTGGAGAACGCATGATAGAATTCTGCAAAACCAATGATTTGTTCATTTCAAATACCTTCTTTAAACAGCATAACAGACAACTATACACAAAGACCTCACCAGCCGGAATACACAGAAATCAAATTGACTACAGACTCATGGCTACCCTGTTTAGGGTTTCTAAGAAGCAGTTTGTTAAATCACTAACCTTGTGATTATCAGTCAAGTGCTAACCCTATAGCACCACACCAAGACTCCTGTGGAGTCACTGGCGGGCTCCAAGTACTGACCTTTTTACTTAGCAGAGGAGCACTTAAGTATTGTGTCACCAGGGCTCCTTTTTCAACTACACGAATATGTTCTATGAACTTTTTTGGTACATGTAATATATTTAATAATTTAAAGAAATTTAAATCCCTCTGGATTCACATATGTAACAATTTTACCAATGAACAGACTCAAAAACCATGTAAACTGACTAAGGTTAACATCACAGCTAGATGTGGCTTTGCGAAAACTTGAACCCAAGTTTGTGAAATCACAACCCTGAACTCCTTCCTCTATATAACCACCACACTGGCGACTTGATCCTCTCTGCACTGACTACTGAGGTGGTGGTGGTTATGTGCCTTGAAATCAGTTCCAACTCATAGCGACCCTGTACAGGGTTTCCAAGGCTGTAAATCTTTATGGGAGCAGAAAGCCTCATCTCTCTCCCGTGGAACAGCTGGTAGTTTCGAACTGCTGACCTTAAGGTTCGCAGTCTGATTTGTAACCAGACCTCCTTAACTATTGAGGAGAAGTAACAAATTACCAATCTTGGCTAACAAAAAATATGCAATTGTAAAGCTATTGATCAACTGGCAATGGGACTAGTACTACTGCTCTTCTTGCTTGTCATACATAAATACCTGGCTAGAATGAAAAGTTTAGCTTTTCTCAAGCTAATTGGTCTGTAATAGAATCAACCCAATTAAATTAGCTAATGATGGGAAGGATTTGAGTTTCTTCATTTATACATTGTTGTTGCTGTTAAGTGCCGTCAAGTCACTTCTGACTCATAGCACCCCATACAGGGTTTCCAAGGAGTTGCTGGTGGGTTTGAAGCATCAACCTTATGGTTAACAGTCCAGTGCTGCTTCTATAGAACCACACCAGGACTCCTTATATATACATTTGTTGTTGTTAAGTGCCATTCAAGAAGTTCAGAGAACCCCAAGGTAAATAGACCCTAAAAGACAATCACCAAGACATATAATAATCAAACTCTTCAAAATAAACAATAAGGGCAGAATCCTGAAAGCAGCTAGGGAAAAGAGAAGTGCAACAAACAAAGGCAAGCAAATCAGATTAAGCTCGGATCTCTCAACAGAAACCATGCAGGCAAGAAGGCAGTGGGGAGACATAAAACCCTGAAAGAAAAAAAACTGCCAACCAAGAATTCTCTACCCAGCAAAACTGTCAATCAAATACAATGGTGTAAAAACAAAATATTCCAGGATAAACAGAAGCTAAGGGATTTTGCCAAAGCCAACCCTGCTAAGAAAAATATCCTAAAGGAAGTTCTGTGGACTGAGAATCAACAAGAACAACAACCAGAGCTTGATATATATGGCAGCATCACTGGGAACTCAATCAACAAATGGAAAAGTCAAGAATAGAATAAAATTATAATAACAAAGGATCTGGGAGGTCAGTCTATGATCAAAACAATTACAATGTCAAAGGTAAACACAAAGGAACAGAGATCCAGGTGGTGAGAAGGTCAGGTAGATTACAGGATAAAATAGACTGTCTTAAATGGAGGGAAGAATTAATGGAATATAAGGTAAGCACTACACTAGGGTTGGGGTGGAGGGTTTAGTTCGGGTGTTGGGTAGGACAATACAAGAAGGGGGGAGGAGGTGGAAGAACAAGGTAAACAGGGGAACACTGAGACAGATTTGCATGGCCTAAGTGGGACAGAGGTAAATAGTAATGCATGATCAACTTTGTAACAGGGCTCTGTGATACAGGGATCTAGGCAAAGTTCGAAAAGGGGAAATAATACTAAAATGCTTGACTGTCTTATAAATATTGGTTTCCCTTACCTAGTGTTGTAAAATAAGACACTTGAATGGGATAGAAAGGAATGTTGGGAAACAGGATTACAGAAAATATGTAAGCCCGTCTTCAGCCTATGACTGACTGGAATACCTAAAAAGGGTCCTAGAACTTGCCCAGTGAAATAGTTCTCTTGCAAAGCCTTTGAAGAGTACAGGACCTTAGGTGGAATCCTGAGTCCCATCTGGAACCTTATGAGGTGGGACATTCCCACTAGAAAAGACAAGCAGACCAGCCTGGAATAGCTAGAGCAACAGAAGATACATCTCCAAAACAAAAATGTCAGCATGACTGGCTACTACAAGAATAAACAAGCTGTATGCCGGGAATTCATCAAGGCAAGCAATCAAGTTCCTTCAGGACAAACTCCCCTCTATGACCGAAACTCAAAGGGAACACATGAACAGGCATGTAAGCTTGCTGGCAACCACACTGGTCTACTGGTGAGGGGAAGAGGGGGAAAGGCAACAGTGAAGAAAAGGGCTGAGTTCAACCATAGACCAATGACTCCCGTTGACCTGGAGATGAGAGAGGGAAGACGAAGGGCTGGTTGGTCCAAAGTGTTGTGAGACCTGGGGACACTTGAGCCCATGGACGAGGACATAGTCACAGGGGGCTAGAGCTGAGAATGAAGCATCCAGCTGATATGAAGTGAGGGGAGATGCACAAGAACACCCAAACTTGCAGACAACACCCAACTGACCTAGCCTTAATTGCCTGATGTTCAGAACTCAACTAGAGGAAGATTACAAAAAAATTTAAAAAATTTTATTGATAACGGAAACAAGGGTAATTTACTACAATTTGATGAACTTGACCTATACTTATGGAGGTAGTAACTATAAATACCAACAGAGAGGGAAAGAGTCTTCACATCAAGTATCAATACTATACCCTCTATACAGAGGGTAGATAGTGACAGGCAACTTAAACATTGGCTACCTAAAATGAGGGGGCGATAAAGGCACTAAGTGACTAACTTACAAATTTTCAAGAAGGAAATAGTTTAAGAATGTGTGAGGGAAGAAAGAGTCCCCACTGAATAGTTTTCATCTTGTCTAGATGGGTCTGGTGAAAAGAAATGCGGATAAGATTCATAGGATTCAATAGTGAATATTGTTATCAAGATTAATTGCGACTGTCACAATTGTAAAGGTAGAGGTTTTATAAGAAAAACAGGGGAGTGATTAATCTTACACTCCAGAAACAGAGGACCCTAGGACCATCAAGGGAGAAGAGCAGAAGCAGAATGTGGGACCTTAACCAGAGAAGCAGCGATGCCAGAGATGGGGACATGGAGAGAAAGAGAGGCTGAAGACTCTAGAGTCATGGGAAGAGAGGGACTAAGAGCTGGTGGCCAGGAGGCAGACTTGCAGAATGTATCCTTTCGAGGTATAAATTATTCTATATGCCTGAGTGTTTTTTTGTTTTGTTTTGTTTTAAAAAAAGCTAAAGTGAATAGAGAGAAACACTGTTAACTGATGGTACATGGAGGGGATTAAAATCCTTCTAATGAAACATGGTGTATGATCTGTTGAATATAAAACTGATGATCTGCCCTGAAAACTTTGACTCAATCCACAATAAAAACCTTAAAAAAAAAAAGTTATGTGGTAAATTATATTTTTTTCAAATATTAAACCATCCTTGCATACCTGGTATGAACCTCGGTTGGTCATGATATATTATTTTTTTTGAATATGTTGTTGAATTCTATTGGCTAGAATTTTGTTGAGAATTTTTGCATCTATGTTCACGAGAGATAATGGTCTATAATTTTCTTTTAAGTGATGTCTTTCTCTGGTTTTGTAATGAGGGTTAAGCATGCTTTGTAAAATGTATTAGGAAGTTTTCCACTCTTCAATATTCTGTAATAGTTTGAGTAGTATTAGTATCAGCTGTTCTCTGAATGTTGGTAAAATTAACCAATACAGTCATGTGGATCTGGAAAAAAAAAATCTATATGATGAGCAAATAATTCAAGAAGTGTGATTATATGAAAAGTGTGGCATCAGGGTTGGAGGAAGATTCATTAACAACCTGAGATATGCAGATGATACAATTTTGTTTGCTGAAAGCAAAGATGGAGATCAAATACCACAGCTGTTAGTATGGGTTTCATTTCAATGTAAAGAAAACAAAAAGCCTCACCACTGGACCAATAAATAACATCAAGATAAAGGGAAAAAATCTTGAAATTGTAAAGGCTTCATAGTCTTCAGATCAACCATCAACACTCAATAGAGACAGCAGTCAAGAAATCAAATGATGTATTGCAGTAAGTAAATCTATTGCACAAGACCTCTTTAACATATTCAAGAACAAAGATGTCAATTTGAAGACTAAAGTGTGCCAGACCCAAGTCAGTATTTCCAATAACCTCACATGCATGTGAAAAGTTGGACAATGAATAAAGAAGACCATAGAATTGATGCATTTGAGTTACTGTGTTGAAGGAGAATATTAAAAGTACCATGGCCTGCAAAAAGAACAAGCCGATCTGTGTTGGAAGTACAGCCAGAATGCTCCTTAGAAACCAGAATGGCCAGACTTTGTCTCTCATACTTTGGACATATTATCAGAATAGACCAGACCCTGGAGAAGGATATCATGTTTGGTAAAGTGAAGGGTCAGTGACAAAGACCCCACAACGAAATAACTTAGCATAGTAGCAGCAGCAATGGTCTCAAGTGTGGCAGCTATTGTGAGGTTGGCACAGGACCACTTGGTGTTTCATTCTGTTGTGATTAAGGTCACTATGAGTCAATATCAAATCAAAGGCACCCAACAACAACCAAACAGACCAGTAAATATAAACAAGGGAGATCAGTGGCTTCATAGGAAAAGCACTGGATTTCAAACCACAAAGTTGGTGGTATGAGCCTACCAGTTACTTTCAGGAAGAAGATGATGCTTTCTGCTCCATAATAGATTTAAAGCTTCAAATCCTTATCCAGGGTCGCTATGAGTCAGATGCTACTCAACAGCACTTAACAAATATAAACAAAATTCAGCTTTGGGAACTCTTAAATTTGCTCTATACTACTTTGATGAAGATGAGAGCTATAAAAAATTTATAAGGGGGCTTCAAAAAGTTTGTGGAAAAATGGAATTCAAAAATAGAATTTTTCCATGAACTTTCTTAAACCCCCTCATATTGAAAGGTAACTTTAACTAAAAGACCCTATAGAGATTAGAGTCTCTGTCTCTGTCTTATTAATAATTACTTTGTTGTTGTTGTTAAGTGCTGTCAAGTCGATTCCAACCCATAGCGACCCTCTATGGGGTTTCAATGAGCAGCTGGTGAGCTTGAACTACCCACCTTGCAGATCAAACAACATTGCAGTCTAACGCATTAGCCCACAGCGCCACACCAGGACTCCTAATAATTATTTTAATATACTATAATATTTTTTTCAAATTATAAAACTCAGATATATATTATGGCCCAGGCATGATAAACCAAATTCTTTACCTCTTGTATTCAGCAGGTTCTCTCTTCTTTATCATTTCACGGAGTCTTGCAGCTGACTGCAATATACAAAACATGTTATTTTATAGCTACATCGCTTACATTGTAAAATATTAAATATTGGTACTCTACACACACTAAGGATCTAAGTCTCATCTTTGTAATAAACTTAAGATAAATATATGAGTGGGCTTCAGAAGTTTCATGGAAAAATGCAATTAGAAGATAAAGGAATTTTCCCATCAACTTTTTTAAAAACCCCTATACTATTAATAATAAAGGAAAGCATGTTAGTAAGCAAAGTATATAATACTGTAGCGTAGTGGTTACGAATCGGGCTGCGAACCTTAAGGTCAGCGGTTCGAAACTACCAGCTGCTCCGCGGGAGAAAGATGAGGCTTTCTACTCCCGTAAAGATTTACACCCTCGGAAACCCTGTACAGGGTCGCTATGGGTCGGAACCGACTCAACGGCACTTAACAACAACAACAACAATGTAAGCAATCAGCTGCTCCTCAGAGACACTATATAGGGTCGCTATGGGTCTGAACCAACTTGACGACACTTACCAACAACAATGTAAGCAATGGGCTGTTAAACACAAGGTCGACTGTTCAAACCCACCGGTTGCTCCTCAGAAACTCTACAGGGTTGCTATAAATCAGAACCAACTCAACAGTACCCAACAACAAATTAATATTCTGATATTTAAAACCAAAGTGCTAATGAGTTTATATAATTTATTATTTAATCAAATATATTATTACAAATTAAAAGGCTCATTACATTCTACTATAGGCAAACCTACTTTGATATTCCAAGAAAGTTATGGTTATACTTCTAGAAATCAAATCACATCTTCTGTTAATGAAAATCTTAAGTTAGAAATACTTTATCTAAATTTCTGATGGATTTTCAACTGTTAATGATTCAACAATTCAGTCCTTCAAGAAACTTGCCCTCTCTCTTCCCCAGATGCAAACATATGCTGACTACCTAGTATTCAGAGAAATTAATTATTTAGTAATGCCAAAGGTTTGCTATCTTGGGGAGGGGGTGGGGAGCACACCCTCCTCAGCAGTTACTTTCTTACACACTGAACTTCGACTTCCAGTGTATGGTTGGATATGTGCCGTGGAGTCGGTTCCGACTCACAGCGACCCTGTACAAGGTTTCCAAGGCTATAAATCTTCATGGGAGCAGAAAGTGTCATCTTGTTCCCGCAGAACAGCTGGTAGTTTCGAACTGCTGACCTTGCGGTTCGCAGCCCGATTCATAACCACTATGCCACCAGCGGTCCTCTTCCAGTGTATACACTATACAAATTATAGCATTAGTTACATTGATCACAAAACACTAGCATGTATCAGAGGATTTATCCTTAAAGTTCTCAAATATGGCATATTCCCGTCTATTCTAAAGTTATAGATTTAGAAAAGAAAAGTATGTTCCCTCGCTCCTCTACCGCATATCCTTAAGCCTACTTGTATAGATATTATCCTCTATCCTCTAGTTAAAGCAACAGAATATAGTGTGTCTTCTAATCTAATACATTATTTTACATATCACCAAGAAAAGGAAAAAAAGCTACCAATTATAGTTCTAAGATATCAACTTCAAAAATATTAAAAATGTGTAAAAAAAAAAAAAAAAAGTCAATGAAATATGGTAACTTCTTTCTAATAAGAGTAAAAACTACTCCTAATTTTGCTCTTCTTCATCTGACACTATGAAACCTGATGTCATCAATATCCTATGATGTAAGAAAAATAGTTTCTTGGTTTTAATTAAAATAGATGCCGCACAAACCTCAGACAACTGAAGAGAAGCAAAAAAATTTGCATTTTCCGATATGTTCTTTAGTCTCTTCCTTTCATATGGTGACAATTCTGAGAAGTCATCCTATAAAATAACAACCAAAAACACTGTTACTTTACGTAATCTATGGTAAAAACACCTGACAAAACGAAGTGCTTAATTATCTACATGCATATTTCACCTTCAAATTCCATACCCTTTCCTCATTCCATGCTACCTTACCAGAATGCTATATATATTTTTTTTTATATTTTTGCTATATTAAATAAATGCTGATTGAGAGTTTAAATTTGGGATCATCGCAACATATTTGTATGGTGATACAATTAAACAAAAAGTGATTACATATTAGAAATCTAATAAAAATAGTTCCTAATGGCCATTAATTTTACACCTACTCAAAAATCGGTTTGCTTTCTAAGTGTTATTTTCATTTAAAAATTTTCTAATAAACATGGCAGAGTGAATAAATGCATTTCTCTACTTACTCCTAGAAACTATTAATGACTAAAAAAATAGTCACTGCCATCGAGTTGATTCCAACTTATAGAGAATGTGTAGGACAAACAGAGCAGAACTGCTCCATAGGGCTTCCAAGGCTATAAATGTTTACTAGAGCACATAGCCTTATCATTCTCCTGCAGACCAGTGATGGGTTCAAACAGTCAACCTTCCAGTTAGCACCACGATGTTTAGCCAACTGCGCTGCCAAGGCTCTTCCACTAATATGTAAGCAATAAAAATTATTCTCAGAAGATAACAAAAGACATC